ATTTTGATTTTCTTTGTGAATTTTTCAGACATCAAATATCGGTCATTTCCTCTGCGAACCCTTCATTCGTATCATTACTTTTGTGTTTCAGTCGATCCTTCTTTCTACTAGTAAGCACTGTGAGTTGATATTAGCTGCATTACATCCATCATTTTGTTTGCTATTGAAACTGAACTCATTATCTCCTCTTCTCAGACTACTGTTATTCACTAGATATCATTGGTGGCAAACTCGTCACGACCACGCTGGCAAAATTCTGCATTGTGATTTGGAGGAGGGGGTTTGGCGAATGACATGATTGCTAATTTTCAGTTAGTAAGACGGCTATTTCAAATGCATCAGCTATTAAGTGTGTTTGAAGAAAGGTAAGTATATTCCTTATAAATAAGAATGGTTGGTGCGCAGTTTATGATTGAAACATTGTCTTTCCGACATACTTGATACGCGATAGAAGCTGAAAATATTGAAAACAAGTTTTGGAAACAAAGAATGGCCTACGCGTATTTCGAAGGACAGATTTTCAAGAAGACGAAGAAGAAGCAGAAACAAGAACGAATAGTACCAATGATATGGTGATTGAAGAGGCTGCATAGAGCCTTTGTGAACACACAGTTCATTAATGTCCTCTTACTTTGCTAAGACTTAGGCTGCAGGAGGAATATAACCTAGTCTACACTCGAAACGTTTGTAGGTGTACATATACTCACTGCACTCCTAAGATATATCTTCTCATTTCGTTGCTGCTATCTGAGTAGATGATTTGGTTCAGCACATTGTACGGGCATATTCCTTCTCCATTCATAATTTTTTTCCATATAAACAAGACACATCGGTTGACTGGCTGACTTCCTGAAGCTCTTCTCCAGTCCATATTACCTCGACTACACGAGTGCAACGGAAATTCAGTGAAGTTTATATGGTCATGAATGCAGTTCAGTTGTGTTGTTTCATAGAACAATGTCACTGACGCCACTAACGGCTCTCAATGTATTATCATGCCTAAAGCCACTCAGAAAACGTCCAAGCTAGTGAGGTGGGTGTGTTTTCAAATCCTTGTCGCAAGCACTACTTCTTCCATATGGAACTTTGGTAGAACGTATTGTCATGATATCCTACCAGTTTAACTGGCGTCAGGAGAGTCGAGTATATGAATGTGATTCATGATGTCATTTGACTCATCTGCTCAATTGACTTATGTAAACACCATGTAGTCAGGGGAGAAGACACGTTGATTCAGCGTGGAAGCATTCACTTTTACAACCAGAGAGTCGAAATTTCATGCCGTTTCCGTCATTCTGATTCTTCTTATTTGGAAATGTGACAGCCATGTATCGACAACAGAATTCTACGTCATCAGTCACAGATCTGGATATGCATTATCCGCAAAAATCACAAATGTTTACTGCAATTTGTTGTAGAGTTGACAAAATAGATACACTATCATTTTGAGTGTAGGATTCCTGATAGTTCGTAACGATACACACTCATTATGAGTCTCAGTCGAAGCTTTTCATGGACGTTATGTGAATGCAGACGTGCGGCATTCGTCTCATGGGACTTACACAAATTCAGTCATTTACATGCTTCAGTGATTGAATCATCCTGGATCCTCTTAGCCGTCGTTGAAAGTTTCGTCTGCAGAATGAACTTTCTGAATTATTTGCAGCAGCTTTTCTGATGGACATTCAAATCAATGTATTTTCTACACGATCACACATTTCTCTGCATGCATGCTATTTATGATATAATGGAACGTCTTCTTATGTCATAACTAGTGGTAACTACGCCATCCAGCGTACTGTCGGATGCTGCAAATTGTGATGATGTCTGGTCAGTGTGAGACAAGCAGGTAGCTGGTTGAATTACACAGTATGTGGTCTGAATTTATGTTGACAGACAGAATAATGTAGTCATATTTACAGGGTCGGATTTTCAATGAACTCAACGTTTTATGTTGTAACCCAGGCACATTGCAAGTTGTCATCCATCTAAACTTCCTGTTTGTTCACGTTTTTTAAAATTTATTACTTGATCCCTGTCTACACTACCATATTTACCTATCCACACTTGCTTTTTATTTTGTAATTTTCCTATATCGACATATTTAATCCATGATTGCATAAACAATTAATTATTCATCACCCTACTTTTTTTATCTAAGCGTCCTGCCTATTTTGTTATTTCTACATTTCTAACCCAAATTGCATAATGTCTATCTTCTCCGTTATTTTACTACTTTGTATGGCTTTTATCCGTCCCCCTGTTTATTATGGCATTCTTATTCCCAATTATAAATTTTAATAATTTGACCGTTAACTGGAAATATTTCTGACACTTTCCCATCCATTTGATTTAAATACACGAATGTACAGCCTAGATGAGGACTTCGTCGAAAAGAACATTTCATTCGCAGTAACTGTCTTTTTATTCCCTATGATCCAATGCGTGTATTCCGTGATTTCAAACAATAGTTATGAAAACCACTCGGTTTCAAATACTGTCACTATGCTTATTATGAAATTGAACAACTCAAGAATTGCAGACATCGTTTAAGACGATTAAAATGAACGGTGGTCAGCAGTGAAGAGTATACGCATTCCGTATAGACAGCAGATACTATTAAACTGATGGAAATGAAGTAGCAAATGTCAAGTCACACTGCTCGCTTGTGTTAAAGAAAATAGGAAGAAACACAAGAGATGTGATAACACTGGAGTGATAGAAGGGTGACTGAGAGAAAATAAATGCGTGCCTGATTCGAATTGTGACGTGGAGGAAATGAAAACAGATAATTTTCCGAAGAAAATATTTCGTATTAAATAATTTGAAACAATTAGTTCCCTTTATGAATTTAGATAAAGCAATAAGAAGAAGTAATTTGTCTGAATCGTGTAATGTAATAGGATGAAAAGATTGTTTGTCGAAATATAATCACACAAAATGTCAACTGTTTTGAGCAAAGGCACATTAGTGAACAACGAGTTTACATTAAAAGAGTACATATTCTTATTCATAATATTAATATTACCATTGTCAAGTAAAGCAACCCATTCGAAGATATCTTTTAACACCTACTTACAGATTTGTGTTTTGACTGGATGCAATAATTCTACTAACCATTTAGCAAGTTTATGTGTTGGAGATTTGCACATTGACAATATAGGACGTAGAGGATTATTAGGATTATGTATTTTTGGCAAGCAATACATATGCAGAAATTTACAATCTGATTGCTTTAATGAGTCGAATTCATCTTTACTTATAGCATTTAGACCTTGAAGCTTCACTAGATTAACTGTCACTTGGCCCTGCAACAACTGTATATCTTCTGACGAGGGATCACGGCTTAATTTGCTTTTATCATCAAGAATAGACATCATTTTAGATTTATAGTCACTTTTATTCATAATAACGACTCAATACCTTTATCAGGTTTCGTAATAATTATATTAGAATTTTCCCATAGCTCTTTCAAGGCGTTGAAATGCTGGAAATTTAAAATTCTTTTCTCCTTTGGGTTGTTGTTTAAAAACTGATGAGCTATATCCACAATCTTGGTCTTAAACCAACCTCAATCTTCATCGGATATTGCGGCAACAGGTTTGAATTGGTCATATAAGTTTTCAAACTCAGTATGTATGGCTCAATCCGTAAATTGCCTGCGAGAAACACAAATATTGAATTCAAGGGATAATGCTTCTTTCTGATGAGTAGATAGAGTAATATCAGAAAGATTTGTAACTTACTTATCAGGATATACCGGAAAGACATCGACGCGGTTTCGATCATCAGTTGAACTCTTCAGCTTATTTGGTATATTCGTCTTAGTTTTCTGAGTAACGTCTTAACAAAACTGAAGAAACTTCATGTTGCATATTATTGATAATTCAGATAAAATAAGTGACGCATCGGTATGAAGAACAAGTGATCCTTGTAACGTTTGTTTAACATTTCCGATATGTTACTTTGTAAGATGAACAAGATAAGAGATATTTGGTTGTAATTAACTGAATTTCAAAGTTTTATAAAATTGTCTCTGGAAGGAATGATTTTTAATACATAATTCATAAAATTCCAACGTGCTACGTTCGACGATAATTTTACACCTAAGATTAACAAGTTCATTTAACCTTTTGGTAGTGTGTGGTGGCAGTCTTCTCTTTAAAAATTAAAAACAATTAGTTCCCTTTATGAATTTAGATAAAGCAATAAGAAGACGTAATTTGTCTGAATCGTGTAATGTATTTGCGCAACACATTTCGAACAATGTGATCACACACGGAGTTGTCATAGGAATATATATGAAATAATTAAAGAGAAAAGAGGTGAGAAAATAGACTTAGGTCAAGTTTTAAGGACATATTCAAGGTCAAAGTAGCAATGAAGACTACTAAACCAAATAACAGAGGTAATAGTACATCTGCTATGGTGACAACACAAAATTTACCAAGGAAGGTTTAGTGTGATGACAAATTGCTTTTGAACACATAAAGGTGGCTTAAACTATATAATTGCTAGGGCTTCCACAAACTTTAGGATACGCCCCAAACACGTTTTATGAATAGGTTCAAAAGATCTGTTAACGTCAATTTTATGTCCTGTCTCCATAATATGTTTCGCAATAGAAGATCTAGGTCTCCTGTTCTCACCGTTAATAGGTTCTGAAGATTCCATTTGTTTCTGAAGCCATTAAGGAATATGTTATGAAGCCCTTACTTGCAGAGATCGATGAGTCCTTCCTATGTATGTGTGTCCACACGTACATTCAAATTGGTAAATACAGAGGGATGTGACGTCATTTTTCGCATGTTAGAAGGGCTTAGATAGATATATTGGCTTTACATTCTCTATTATTATGATATTGGCTGCATGAAAAGTCTTTTTGACAGCAGCGTTCAGTCTTTGTCTAGTTATCAAGGTGCTTTGATGCCTCATATAGGGAAGCTTGATGTACACGTCTTTCTTAGGGGCGAGCTGAAGAGTGGGTCTTGGTGTTCTGACTACTTTATATCTCCTGATGAATAATTATCAAGCTCATTCGAATTGAAATAAACCAATTGCAAAATACCAAAATCATCGTCACCGTAATCGACATGTCTATCATCATCATCATCATCATCATCATCATCATCATCATCATCATCATCATCATCATCATCATCATCATCATCATCATCATCATCATCATCATCATCATCATCATCATCATCATCATCATCATCATCATCATCATCATCATCATCATCATCCTCTACATTATCATCATCACCATTCCACTTGACCACCATTATCTGCCTACGCTTCAGTAAATGTGGATTGTAAACAACCAAATTGACAAAGAGGTTTACATCCACTTTCAGTATCTGCATCAGATATTCAATGTCATCATCATCGTAGGCGTCAAAGACACATGTCAACACATTCACACACAAGTTTCTGTAGCTGCATATTTCTTTCAATCGACAATGTCAGGTGATTGCCGGCGGGCTGTCGGAACTCTCACATCCTTTGAACAAGGAATTCGTTAATCATGTTTTCTATGATACCTCCAATTTCTAAGTGTTGAGTGACATGAGATTGAAGAATAATTCCATAATATCATTTGGCGCATTACTCGTTTTCGCGCCTTAATTTTCAGCTAGTATGGATTATTCCTACTGGTGACATTCGCCATAAATTAGGCGAAATCTGAACGACGATTACTGGGATGAGGAAACCCAAAAATATGTTTTGTTTCAATCAAATAAATTCTATTGGAGTGAAGCTTCATTCCGACAGGAGAAAAGAAAATGGTCGTTTGTATAATATTATCATTACTATTTCTTATATTACTCATATTCATCGCTTCAGTCGTTAAGAACTGATATGACCATGATTAAGTAATCCAACCACAAGCAATCTCATACAAGAAACAAAACTCATTGGAATAATCGAAATTCACTGAATGTTCTATTTTCAGAGAATATCATGGAGGACCTGTGATGATGATGATGAATGCAGGCAATCACACAAGAGAAGCAGTATAATAAAATTCACTCAATAATGTTAACCGAAATGCAAACAAATTTCTGATGAAAAACATGAGGAATCCAAATGAGTAATGAACATGCAAAACCGCCATAACAAACACACCAAAGAACGTACACATACGTGAAGCGATAACAGAGAACTGAGGAAATTTTTCATCACAAATATATTAATACAGTTCAAATGAAGCTAATGTCAGAAACTGAGGGAGATTGCATGCCAAAATTTTCTGAGGTGAAATTACAAATAATAATTGGGTTTCACGAGGTCAATGAAAGATAACATTCTTTATGACATGTTGGGGCGTGCACCGTCGAATCATTCACCCGTGGTATTCACGAGGATAGGTGGAACGAAAGGTATGAATCGATTGTACGGGTAATCTGTACACCAGTGATATGTTTTATGACAGGAATATCCACAGCACTCGTAGTCTGTTGTGCATTTTTCTCCAAGTTTCATACATTTGAAACAGGTCCCTGGTCCCACTGGTTTCCACGCACACCGTAGAGGACTGCAGCATGGATAGTCTCTCTCACAAGTTTGATTCAGACTCCGACATTGTGGCCATTGACCGACGGCTAAAATCAAGTGGAAGTAGAATTGAAATACGTTAATGAGCATCATTCAAGAGATAGGTGCATGTTTGCAAGTATGTATGTATGTATGTATGTATACATGCATGTTTGTATGCGTGGATGAAAGGATGTATGTATGCATGAGTAAGTGCAAGATTGGATGTAGTTGGGAATCTGTCAATATGAGTGGATGTGTGTGTGGATCTGCGTCTCTAATTGTTCACGCAATGCGATCGTTGATGATCTGATGCAGATACTGATTGTGCCTGCGATTCTGATAGTTATGTGGGCGTTGAGAATTCACCATGGCGGCTGCGGATGCAAATGATGTTGGTCGAGTGGTATGGTGACGGTGAAGAGGGAGAGGAGCAGGTCGGTAGAGATGATGGTGAAAATGACGATTTCGGTGACGATATTCTGCTGGATTCATTGGAATTCGAATGGGATGATGTGTGATCGACTGACAGACAAACTGAATGATTGACTTACCCGTCGCCTTGCATACAGCACACAATACAACAAGGAGAACTGACGGAACACAGTGCATCTTCTCGTCTGTCTGCCTTTTGATGGTTTCGATGTGATTTGATTAAGATCTGTTAGGATGAGGTGCTTATATATAGTTAGAGAAGACGATAAAACTAGACAAAATCACGAGTGATGCATTAGTCGTGTCATCTACGTGATTCAACATGCTCTAGCGTGGATGGAGTGAATTTGTGATTCACAGATTTGTCAGTTGCATGTTTCATGCAACATGACAGATGATCTGATGAATGAAGCATTTCAGGCTCAACCACCCACATGAGCTCGCATCAAAGTATTATTATTCTCACTCATCTTTACATGATTCGAAATCAGAACAATCACACTCACACACAGCGGATTTTGTAGTCGACGTCATTATCGATTAGATTTTATCTTGATTAATCCCTAAGTGGTACACAGAAATATTAGTTGATGACGTTTCGAGCACAACTTATTGCTCATTATCATTTCAAGCCACTCACACAACTGTTTCTTTCATTCATATACTTGTGTGGAATTGGCTAGATATTTGGAATAGCCGCAGTGATTGAGAATAAAATGTCACATGCATTTGTGCAAGACACAGATACATTTATTCTTTAGAACACTTGTCATATCATACATAGGATTCCCAATATGGAAGCAGTTATATTGGTACTGAGGATGATCATCACCCAGCGTATTTCAGAGAGGGACAACCTGTGTTCTTCGAACCATTCTGCAATCACAATTCAACAAGGTAATATGATTTGTGGAATGTGTTGGATTGCTCGTGATTTCAGTCTGATATGTGAAACGATGAGAATATGGCGAAAATTGTGAATGAGTAATTTCAGAAAGAAACGATCAATTCCACTGCATGCATCACCAAACAATCACATGGTGGTGTGTGAAGGAGTTATACTCCTCAATATTGGTGTAAATAGATGGAGAGCGAGCAAGATGTGGTTTGAGAAAAGGAGTTGGATCACTGAAACTTTCCTCATACAACTGAATATATGCTATCCGAATGATTCATCAGTGATGTTTGAGATCTGCGAAGTAATAATAGGATTGAGGTCGAATGGTGGGAGACGAATACTGGAGATATATAAAAAAGTAATTCAGGACCCTATGTGACATGATTATGAGCAATCGATTGAGCTTCAAACTTCATCGCGAGATAGTAAAGTAGGACGAACGGAAATTACTCATTGTAAGCGCAGTAACCTTTAGCTGCCAACGGTCTCTAATCGAAGATTCTTGCGCAATCATCACCGCATCCATCAGGGAGAGATTTTTAGATTATGGAATCCATTTCTTTCTAGTTTGATGTAAAGGTAGATATTCTCGCCTCCATCTCCTTCTAAACGACGCTGCTAGATGCATAGCCTGCCTACATCTGAAGTTGTGTACCTGGACAGAATCTGATGGAGTCTCCATACTAATGTTTCGACAGACAAGTAGTAGGTGGTTTGGCGTGAGAGCTACATTACCTTTACTATCCGATGATGATGGTACAAGCGGCCGATCATTCAACATGCCTTCTACTTCTGCCATGAACGTCAATAAAGTTCCATCATTTAGATTTTGCTCATTGTGGTATGTGTGATGATTTGTGACTGAATGTGAGATCAACGTAAAGTTAGTTATTTGGTTTCTGTTATCAGAACAATGAACACAAGATTAAGAAAATCATTATAAAGCTATTTAAGACACATGAACGGTTAAGAAACATCCATATCTTAGGCAGACTGAGTTACTCTATAACCACAGAGTACCTTTCAAATGCCTCCTACACGTGTCATCATTGAAAACATGGTAACATGGGAAAGGCTTTATAGATAATTTCCGTTTGATGAGGGCTCAAACAGTCCCACAATACTATCTAGCGATGACGTTTCAAGCTCAATCGATTGCTCATAATCATGTCACATAGGGTCCTGAATTACTTTTTTATATATCTCCAGTATTCGTCTCCCACCATTCGACCTCAATCCTATTATTACTTCGCAGATCTCAAACATCACTGATGAATCATTCGGATAGCATATATTCAGTTGTATGAGGAAAGTTTCAGTGATCCAACTCCTTTTCTCAAACCACATCTTGCTCGCTCTCCATCTATTCACACCAATATTGAGGAGTATAACTCCTTCACACACCACCATGTGATTGTTTGGTGATGCATGCAGTGGAATTGATCGTTTCTTTCTGAAATTACTCATTCACAATTTTCGCCATATTCTCATCGTTCCACATATCAGACTGAAATCACGGGCAATCCAACACATTCCACAAATCATATTACCTTGTTGAATTGTGATTGCAGAATGGTTCGAAAAACACAGGTTGTCCCTCTCTGAAATACGCTGGGTGATGATCATCCTCAGTACCAATATAACTGCTTCCATATCGGGAATCCTATGTATGATATGACAAGTGTTCTAAACAATAAATGTATCTGTGTCTTGCACAAATGCATGTGACATTTGATTCTCAATCACTGCGTCTATTCCAAATATCTAGTCAATTCCACACAAGTATATGAATGAAAGAAACAGTTGTGTGAGTGGCTTGAAATGATAATGAGCAATAAGTTGTGCTCGAAACGTCATCAACTAATATTTCTGTGTACCACTTAGGGATTAATCAAGATAAAATCTAATCGATAATGACGTCGACTACAAAATCCGCTGTGTGTGAGTGTGATTGTTCTGATTTCGAATCATGTAAAGATGAGTGAGAATAATAATACTTTGATGCGAGCTCATGTGGGTGGTTGAGCCTGAAATGCTTCATTCATCAAATCATCTGTCATATTGCATGAAACATGCAACTCACAAATCTGTGAATCACAAATTCACTCCATCCACGCTAGAGCATGTTGAATCACGTAGATGACATGACTAATGCATCACTCGTGATTTTGTCTAGTTTTATCGTCTTCTCTAACTATATATAAGCACCTACTGCTAACATATCTTAATCAAATCACATCGAAACCATCAACAAGCAGACAGACGAGATGATGCACTGTGTTCCGTCAGTTCTCCTTGTTGTATTGTGTGCTGTATGCATGACGACGGGTAAGTCAATCATTCAGTTTGTCTGTCAGTCGATCACACATCATCCCATTCGAATTCCAATGAATCCAGCAGAATATCGTCACCGAA